AGAATCATTCGTTTACACTGGTTGGCGGTAGTTTGAGATGATGGACGCTTCCTAGGCAGACTGTGATTGTAGCGCTCAATGTCCTCGCTAAATTGCAGCGAGAGTGGTAAGCTTTTATAGAGCGCTCTAGTGCGTGTGTCGCTTCGAGTGTCCTACGCCTTGCCGGTTCCAGCACGTGTGTTAGACTCGATCCTGGTGTCCGGGCTGATTTGCGTGTCTAGGTCGCTATGGGTAAATAAGAATATCTGTTTTGCGTTAATGACTGTGGGTATTGAATGCTGTGGTTTGAGAAAGATGGACCGGAGGGTATTACACTAATTTTCAAAACAATATACATAAATATACACTACAGTGACATTCTGCGCGTCGTTTTTCTGTAAGACATTTTTTACTCCTCATCAAAAAGCCTTGCTGCAGACTGTTGTGAGGCCTCTCCCGGATTGGTTTTGTTCGTACAAGATATAACGGGGAGAACTCAAGGTTTGGGGAGACGATGTCAGACCGCGCTCAGTATCATAGTGAGGACTAAATCCCCCGCGTCATGCTTTTACCATATCATGGCATCCGCTAGGTGATTGTTAGTTTCACTGACACAGAGAAGCTCATCAGTATCGGACGAAGTGTTTGAAATACTATGGCTCCGGTGTAGAATTGATCAGTGCTACTATGACGCAGGACCAATAGAACTTTAATTAAGTGCGTAGTTGTGTAGATCAGTCCATATGTCATGCGAGATGTGTTGTTTGGTGATTTATAGATATGTGTTCATGGAGAGAAATTTGAGCGATTTGTGCAGGAGTGTGTAGGGAGACCAGTGGAACTGGGCAGCTATCTTGTGAGTGCATCGGCGTTGCTACAGAATGTATAGCTAAGTCACTCACAACAATTGTAAAGTTAGCTATCGATTATCAGGGCTATAACTAAAGTAGCATTGATACTATAGTAACGTTACTGGCAGGCCGTACATGCATGCTACCTGATCATAACACGAAACTATTGTACGGTGCAGAAAGGTAATATCAGCCGGTGTCATATTGCTCGCTATATGGTTACGACGCTCTAGATTGCTATTATGAAGTCTGACCATTGAGATGTTATCCAGAACGTTGGTCGCACTGTAACCGGGGTTCGTTGGTGCGACTGGGTCGACTTAGTGTACTGTTGTAGTATAGGGAGGCGGTATGGGAGGACCGTTGGAGCCAGCGTTGAAGGTTGGTGTGAGAGAGATTGTCTTGAATGATATACTTTCTTGGTTTCGCTGTGATTAAACGTTATTCTCTCCTATGTCAAACTCTCGGAACAACTGACTCCTCGGAGTGTGCTCACCCTGAGCGGCGGATGTAGAGAGAGCAGGGAAGGAGCGTCATGTGATCTTGGTGTAAAGGAGTTAGAGGAGTGGAAGTGAATCGGCGTTCTAGCTAGTGAATGATTTGAGTTGTACAAGACTTCTCCTGCACCTTTGTTTATTGTTAAGTTTAGTATGATGATACTCTTATGTCTTCTGTAACTAACCCGGTTAGCTGAAGCCCTTGGGAATTTACCGGTGAAATGATCGTGACATCCGTTCTGGCAGGGAACTGTGGTCATTGGGTATACTGATTCTAGATTATGGCGAGCAGCTGTGAAAAGGAAAAGATTGGGAGCATATTCGATGTTTCTTAATAGTCCCCGTCTTCTTTTGCTCTGAACAGACTACAAATTGGGCATTCCATGGTTATGCACGACGTTTTAAATGAAGCTATAGTTGTTTTCTTTTCCGGCGGTGAGGAAATACCTGTTGTGATGCATTGTAAATTCTCTGAGATCAGTTTGTGTTGCTTATTTGTGCCAATCACTCGCAGGAAACTAGTATTAGTGGCCGCCATGAGTGTTACATCATGGGTGACTACAATACATGTATAAAACTACCCTGTAACAAATACGCTCACTGCTCACGTATAGAACACAAATGTTCATCTGTTGAAAGGTTCGGTACTTTTGGAAACTAGTGGGACGTTAGCAACTGCTGAAGTGAACTCATATAAACGCAATGAGTCTACATGTATATGATTATTACATCGCTGTTGTGCAGAGATGTGGGAGATCGTGGTTCCTCTTTATTGTGACGAACTTTTGAATGTAATAGGACAGTCGTTTTATTTATCTTTGACGTTAATGCTTAAAGTGAAAGATATATGCTGATGTTAAGAGCAGAGCTCCACTGTAAAGTTGCTTTACCTGTTTCCCTCTGGAATCCTGCCTTTTATGTTCGTCAATTTGTATCCAGTCTTGCATTCATCTTTTTTTATATAGTGTAATTTAATGCATTTTCTTCGTTGTTCAGGTGGTAAAAAGGTCTGTAATATGTGGAAACTCAAGAAGTCTTAATTAGAGCAGATAGAATATGTACGTAATAAAATAGGGTACGCTGTTAGAAAGTTGACGTGGATGGTTCTGTCCATCATTAGCCTTACTTTTACCTATTATCCTATAGGTCACGATTGTTGGGTTCTTGTCGGGTAAACTCAAGTATACGTCATACATAAAATGTGTAAGTCATGGTGTTTACTCTTACCCTCTAATGTTTACGCAGCTTATTATCCGTTACTTAACAGTTGGTGTGTCTCCTTCTAAGTAATGGTAAGTAATAATGCAATTATACATAACCAAGTCATGGTTTACTAATTAATAAGATACACTTTTCTTTCCCTTATTATTCTTTACACTTATTTAGTTTTAGCAGTAGTTAGTACATAGCAAACGTTGTAGATTTCTGATAGGCCACTTTAGTGGCTTGATTACTTATTTCTATAGCTCACTTGTTCTTAACGTTTTGTCATAATTATTTAAATTGGTGTTGTTAAGAGCTAGGAACATAGTGAGCTTTTTGAAGAGTAAGCTTTTTGTCTCTATAGTTTTATTAATTTTTTATCAAATTGGACAGTATAGAACATAATTAAGAAGATGAGAATGCCCTTGTCTGGAATCACATATATAAGTGTGATCCTTCTACTCTCCCCCTTTGTTGGAGCTTGGAGTAGGATGTTTCTAATGTGTGGATCAGAAATTCCGGACCTTTCCGCAATCTAGATTGAATCTGTGTACTCTGTGGGCGTGAGTTATGTCGTGACTTGTGCAAATTTTCAGGGTAAAAGGCAAACAGGTGTAGGAGATGTGTGTTCACCTCTTCCCTTGATGTTGCGTCGCGTGGGCTCCGAAGTGTGTGATATATTCTTGCCGGAGATAGCATATATTGTGAGTATCCTCTGATCGGAATCTCACGTCGTATGCTTGTGTGTGTGTGAGGCGTGTGCGCGTGTCTTGGAATTCATTGTGGTGTAATTGGTTGTGTATGATCGCGCGCCAAGATCAGTCAGTTCCCAACTGGCCAACAGCGTCAATCGTCAAAGCCGACCCGTGCACTTGACCTTTCCAGTTAGTACTGGCGGTTGTATCGTTACCGTTGTGATGTTGTGTAGTGGTGTTGGTTGACGATATATGGAGTAGGTTCTTCAGGTGTTCTTCTGTGTCAGTTCAGTAATAAGATCGTGAAATAAAGACTTGTGTTGTTGTGGCTAGAAACGAAGGTTATGTAATCGCAAGCGACATGAATCAGTTAGAATATGAGAATTAGCAGATGGCAAAAATAACATTTTTATTTTAACTTATTCTATTCGTTGATTTCTGTTTTAAGTTTGATGGAATGACTCAAGTTGATATTTAGGCACATACTTATTCTACCAATCTCCGTGCTTCGTGTTGTTTGCCTCTATCTCCATTTTGTATGGTTTGGTTCTGAGTTGTGTGATTATGGGTGAGTATATCGAGTCTTAGGTTCCGTGTATAAGATGTTTACTGTTTCTTCCTGTCTGTAATAACATATGATAGGCAGATGAAGAATTTAAAATGTTTTATTTGCCTGCCTCCTTTATTTATGGTTACAATCGTTTGTGCTTTGATGGTGTAGCATAATAAGTCTTTTTCGTTTGCTATAAGTCTAAACACATTTTTGTACTATAAGGTTAACTTAGTGATAGGTTGAGGTCAGTGGAAGAGAATGCGTGATCTTGCTATTTTATAATACCAGATGTGATGATAAAACACGGTGAGCTGTAGCACGGTACTGTGACCATCACTCCGGGCGGTGCGTTTGTTAAGCTTGTCCTGCGTAGAGTGGTTCTTGAGCGCTTGATGTAAAGATCCTGTATAAAGGTGTTTGTCGTTAAAAGCAGTGGGGCTTGACCAACAACCATATGTAACAAGATTATTTCCCGGCCCCGTGAATGGTGGAAGTCACCAAAGTCCTCGTTGATTTGCTAGTTGTTCTGTAGTGGGTGATTTGGATTTGTTTAGGTGATTGCTGTCGAAGTTGTATAATGCGTTGATGACCGTTTTCTAAAACTTTCGGATTGTATTTTGATACCGAGTATTGTTCATGTCTTGCTGTATGTCTAATGATTTGAGTCTCGAGAAATTTAATCATGAGAGCAGATTGGAGAGGACGCTCAAAGCGACGGAACCCATTGAGTTCGGAAAGGCCGCTTGACGTCACCCCATTCTAATATAGTTGATAGTGGTATAGACCTTCTCCGTTGTAAGGCACAATCACGCTTGTCGTCATGTGTAAGACTGTCCTCGTTTACTGTGGACCTGTTGCGAAGATTTGTATAAGTATCTGTAGTTGGAATCTCAGTATAAAGT